AATTTATATTGTTTTTATATATAATTAACAATCGATAAATATCGATAATTTTTTTAAATGAGTAATCAATAAATTTTGATAGTTATTGTCTTGAAAATTCAATGTTATTCTTGTTATTGAAATAGTAATTCCTGTTTCTGTCCTCATTATACAAGCTTGAAAAATGTTTTTGCGCGGCGAGCTTCCTAGATCCTTATCAGAATTTGAATGCAATTTCTCCATAATTCTCAATTTTAGTTTTCATTACGAATTTGCATTCATTTATCATCAGATGTGTACGTTTTGTTTTTTCAATAAAATGATAAATATTTTTATCAACAATCGATACATGTCGATATTGCTTACGTTCGAAATGAATTGTTCTAATTTACTTCACTTCAAATGTCGATGTATCTTTTTATAATATGAATAATGAAATGATCTTTTTTGTTTTTTTAATTTCAAAGGCCTTCATTGTTCTCCAAATTTTGATTTTTTTTAATAAAACCATCGATTTTGGATTTACCTACATATGTATATATGTATATCTTTACCTGCATTAGTCTTCTAATATCACGAACTTTTTCTCAATATATTTTATTTTTACATTCTAAACTGAGTTTATTTATCGTTTAATGAGCTTAATTAATCAATACAAGTTTCATTTTCGTCATTGAAGTGATGTATTAAATTATTTTTTTCCCAATTTGTGACTGATCGCTGACTATTTATAAGAAAATAATTCTTATGCCAACTTTATTTATTGTGATCGATAAATTTCTAAATTGTTTTGCAAACGATTAATTTATAGTCGACTGTGAATTAGTATGAAATACCAAATTATTATAAAAATATTAATTTCTAAAAGTTGTATTTTTATGCAAAATTTTTTTGTTAATCGATAAGTTTGGATATTTTTTTCCAAAGGATTATTTCATAATCGACTAATTATTATTAAAATACTAATTTCAAAAACTTCGTTTTTTTGCTAACTTTATCATTGTTAATCGATAAATTTCGTTATTTTTCCCAAAAAAAGTAATTTTTAATCGATTAATAGCATACCAAACATCTAAATATTATTAAAATATTAATTTCCAAAATTTTTTTTTATACTAGCTTTATTATTGGTAATCGATAAATTTCGATAATTTTTCCCAAAAGATTAATTTTTAATCAACTTATTAATTTTTAATCAATTATTATCATACCGTACAAAATTTTCCTTTTTTATACTAACTTAATTATAATCGATAATATTGTTATCAATTATTTTATAATCGTCAAAAGTATCGAGTGGTCTGAAGAAAACATCTTATTATCATTAATTCATCCATTTGTTTAAAATTTTCTGTTCGTTATTTATTATCGACTATTAAAGGTGTATAAAAAATTATTATATAAAAAAATAAATAGAGTCTGCAACTCGTTACTAGGGCACCTCAATTTCAAAACGTCTTTTCTACATACTAAGCACTTCTTTTTAGCCAAAATTTAGATTTTTTTAAACTTTCTGCTAGTGCCTTATACCTTCAGCTATTGGTTTGACTGTTCTTTATCCGTTTTTTACTTTCTCTACACTTTCGTATCTCTAGCTTGACGTTGTGCAGTAAAAATCATTTTAAGCGTTCGCTCTTCTGTCAGATAAATGCTGGTAATACCAGGATTTTCCACTTCACACGCAACTAACAAGAAATGTACTCCTAGTTTTACGACCAAAGAAGATTAAAGTTAGCGTCGTGCTTAGAGAAAACATTGGCTAAGTTGATAATAAGCGAAGCAGAAAATAATTTTTTTTTCTAGCAAGAGTTAAAGGTGAAGAGAAATTATTAAAAAGAGAACGGGAATAATTTCAAAATTTTGTTTTTAAAATGAAAAAAAAAATTAAAAATTATTAATTGATAATTTATAAAGGTAAAATTTCCATTAAAAAATTACTTTAAAATGGTTTTCATTTTTGACAATTAAATTAAATTTGTTAATTTAAAATTTTAAAATTTTCCTACAATAAAATATTATATTTAAATTATTATATTAGTAAAAATTAAAATTGTAAAGTTTTTCTATAATAAAATACCAAAAATTGGAATATTTGATAGAGCACAGAAAGTAAACTACTTTTTTTAAATTAAATATATAAAAAAATATTGTCTCAACTTTATTTAGCAGCCTTATTGACCCACTCACTTAACACACCACACTACATACAGTATATATGTATGTATGTATATATTAAATACATATCTCACCTAAGCACTCGAGCATCAGCCACGAATCGATTGCGGCCAGTTGGCTGTTCGATTGATCAGCGAAACTACTCACTCCAACACACCAAAGTGTGAGCCAAACAATGGAATTTTCGACAACGGTATTGTAAACAATCCGCTATTTTGAAAAACACATAACAGCAGTGCGCTTATGTACTTGTTGAATATACATACAAGCACATATACATATATTGTATACAATAATTTTGGCCAAATGCGACTAATTGCAGGGCATAATGGGTATATAAATCCATTTAATCGCACTTCATAAACAGAGCTGGCTGTGAGGAAAAAAGTTTTGCGTGGTATGTATGTATATGTATGTATGTAGATATGTATTATACATATGTATGTATGTAGTCTTGTCTGTAAAAGAACATAAGGCGTATGACGGCAGAGTTTATACTATCTATTTATATAGTATGTATGTATGTATGTATATTAGTAATAACCAAAAAAATAACATAGTATATATTGCTGGTCTGAATTTATTGTTGGACATAAAAGTTAAATACATACATTCGTATAAATTCGCAAGAATTCCTTTAAAGAAATGGCATTTATAAATTTCCTATGTAATTTCTTTTATTTAAATTTAAATTGTTTACAAAATTGCACACATAATGGGTGATCGATTTCGGACTTTCCCACTTTTTTAAAGAAAAAACGCAGAAACTTCACATTTAATGAGGAACGTGTATTATCTTTCAAGCGAACATGCTTTGGCATTATCGCTTTTAAATGTTTGTCGTGGCTACGCCTCAGATATTCTATTCGATGACTCGTTCGAGCATTTCGACTGGCAACTGTCTTATGACACGCGGGATTGTCCGCAAAGACCTTAGATTTAACATATTCCCACAGGGAAAAGTCTAACGGTGTGACATCACATGATCTTGGTGGCCAATCGACTGACCCAAAACGCTAAATTATCTGCTTACCGAAGTATTCTTTCAGTGGGCCCGAAAAGGCGGTGCGTATCCATTCTCTTTTCACGTGTCTTTTCCAATATTTAGCGCGTGGTGAATATCTGATCGATTGTTGATCTAAAGCCTCACTGATAAGTTTCAATCAATTTTTTTGCAGTGAGCTTTAATCTTTCACACCAAACGCTCGATAGAACCTTATATGCGCTGTTGAAGAGGTTTGTCCCACGGTAGTTTATCTCCCATTTTGTGTATTGGACAGAGCACACTTAAACTCCAATAGTTGGGCATGCCTTCGTCGGACCATATTAAACAAAGAAGCTTTTACATACATGAAAGGACATCAGTTCTTCATCGCCCTGTTTGAGTAGTTCGGCCTGCCCTTTGTTGTTCTTCAGACGTGTAATTCCTATTTGCTTTCATTAGTCTAACGAAATTTTTCTTTCTTTGTCGGTTTTTCCCTTATTTGACAATTTATAGAAAAAATGTTTCACACAAGCATACATACATATATATTTATGTAGACATTATTTTCTTGAAATAACAAATAATAATTGTTTATTAAGGAGTGAAATAAAATTTAAATAAAAAAAATATTTCTCTGTCCAAAAATAATTTTTTCTTGACACAATTAATATTCAACTCAAATAAATATGTTCAATAATAAAACTCAGCAATCGTGTAAACACCTGTTAATCACCGCACACACAAAACACAACTCAACTTTATGTTATCGATTATCGATACTTAAGCCAGCTGTCAGCACTTGTAATTGTATTAATATTTTCATTATTTATGAAATTGTTGAATTGTTGATTTTGTTTATACTTTATTTATTTGTTTAAAAATATTTAACATAATCAATCAACGTCACTTAGTAGCTTTATGGCTTAGATTTAGCAGCAGCATTAATTTTCATAGCGCAACAGCAGCGACAGGAGACAGGTTCTACCAACTAAGCGAAGTTTGTAAAACAATCTAGGACAATAGCGCAGTTTTGGTAACAAAATTGGATATAAAATAAATATATCCCAGAAAATTGTTGACAATTTGTTTAATAAATTATTATTTTTCCTTTGTTTTTCTATATTTTTTTATTTTATTTTATTGAAGCTGACATAATAAACAAATTATTATATAAACTAAAGTACGCAGCGTTAGCATCATAGGCTTTCAGCTGAAACGTTTTTGTATATAAAAAAGTAAATACGCAGTATTTATACATTTTTAAGCGATGGCGGAAATGTGCATGCATTTAAATACAATGCATATTTTTTATTACTGCCTACATATTTGCCACAGATCAAAGTGAAAAACGCCTGCAACGCCGCCAGTGTACGCCAAAAGTATTTTAATTAAAACTCAAACCATTGCGCGCTCATCAAATTAAGTGTCGTGACAATTGCGCTATTAAAGCGACTTGTGCGCCGTTTGAAGTGTTGACAAAATTGTCAACACACTCACCCATTTGTCAACTGGCAAGAATTGACAAGAAAACGTGTAAAATGAAATAAAAATAACAAGAAAATTGACAATATTCATTCGCATGCTCGTTTAACCAGCTGGCGGCCGGCGCTTGTCGCTTGCCGCTCAAAAGCCATTTAACCAGCCACGCGCTGTCTATAAACGACTATGGGCATATTTATGTTTGTACACATTTGTTTGCTGTTTTATGCTACATTTCTGGTTGTTTTTTTTTTTATATATATATATATTTTTTTTTTTGATACTTCTTTTTTTTTTTTGACTTGCATGTGGCAATAATATTTTTTAGTGCTACTGCGCCCTCCCCGCCAATTACATTTTGAGTGAATATTTGCATGTCTACCGCACATTTGCAGGCATTCAAAATGGTAGTGATATTTTAATTGATGTGTTTGACTGGTGGCAGGTGTGCGTAGTGTATGTGGTGAGGGTAGAAATATGTAGCTGAAATCGCGTGAGCCCTAAAAATAAATAGCGCTTGCAGAATAATGGAAATAATTAGTGTTTATTAGACTTTGAGGCATAACACTACAGCACAATCTGATCATAAATTATTTGACGTGCGATAAGAGTAAGAAAAAAAATTATTAAATTTATATATCAACTTTTTACATTTCAAGGAAGTTGCTGTCATGCAATATGGGCTGAAATATAGTACAGTTATAGAATTGCAAGTATATATTTTATACAAATCGAAGTCTTAAAAGATATTTTCTTCATCTTTCTTATACCGTAGACACCGCCTTCGCGATTATAACCAATTTTACAACAGCGCGTTAGTCTTGATAGATATATTCCTCTACTTTTCGATTTGTAAGGGTCGAGTGTAGTACTCTTTTCGATGTGTTTTATACACATATCCAAGAGGCGGTCGTAATAAGTATATTTTAACTGAAAAGATTGCTATGCTCCAACGTTTCAAATATTAAACTTTATATTTGCACATTTATCGATATATTTCTCACATATATATTGAGTTGAGTAAGAAAATAATAAAAATTTTAAGTAAAAATATAAATCCTCTAAGTTGAGCATATATTTTTATCGAAAAGAGTACTAAGCTCAACTTTTCCGTATATTAGTCGTTATATTCATTGATTTTTCTGTATATAACAGACATATCGATGGGCAGTACTAAATAAATTTTAAGTCGCAGAATAAAATAAATAGTAAATATCCCAAAAGAGTACTGAGTTTTTCCGCTTCAAACCCTAATCGTTGAATTTATCCAATTATCGATATATATTACACATATCTAAAAGCGAGAAAAACTAATTTTTATGTAGCATTATAACACTAAGTATGTATTTATTTAAATTCCAAACTTGAGCCTTACAAATATTAATCGATAATGATATAGATTTTTCGATACATAACACACATCTTCAAAAATCGGGCTAAATATGTGCGAAGTTAGAGTATAATATATTTGAAGAAGGATACATTTCAGCTAAAAAGACTGCATACATGCATAATTTAAAATTTTAGTCGATTTATTGATATCGTTTTCGATAAATTTCATACATGTCTAAAGTTTAGAGTTAATAATTTAAAGTTGTAGTATGATACCTTTAAGCTATTAATTTATTCAGAAAGAATTCCAAGCGCGACACTTTCAAATATTAATCGATTTATTCATATTTTTTCGATAAAAATAAACATATCTAATAATCGTATTAAAATAGTTCGAAGTTGAAGTATAATACATTTATGGAAGGATGTATTTTATCCGGAAAGAGTATCAAGCTTCACCACTTCAAGTATTAATCGATTTATTTATCTATTTTCGATAAATTTCTCACATATCCAAAGTCTACAGTTAATAATTTTTTAATTATTACAATTTTGTTCAGAATATATTTATCCAGCAAAAGTACTGAGCTCCACCGTTTTAAGTATTAATCTATTTATTCACCAATTATTCGATATAATTTTACATCTCACATCTCTAAGAGCTCTAAATGTTCCAAGTGAAAGAAAATGTAATTTTCAAGATTAATATAGTTCATAGAATATTGTCGATGCATCTTCTGAAGCTTCTTTACTTCAAAAATAATATTACACCCGTTTGCCAGCTTAGGCTGAACCCAAAAGCAAGCGCCTGTTTTATCTGCTCGGAGAGAACAAAAATTATACTTAACATATATTTCAAAAAAATCAAACTAAGTACGAGAAAACTCATTCTGTTTCTTGCTAAGAGTTGCTAATCTGCAAGCTAGAGACCACCTTCTTTTATTGTCCAGCTGTTTCTGATGAACTCTAACTTGGCTACTTGTTACTATAACAATAATTATTTAAGTTTCTAGTTTCATACAATAGACCATAAATAATCAAAATCAAAAATGTAGTTTCCATCTTCTACATATATTCAACATACTACATATATTTCCAGAATTTGGTCTATCAATATTTAATTTAATTAACTTTGACTCTGCAAAACCAGCAACCTTGACACTAACTAACTGATGCGCCTAAAATAACTCATATATCAACACACAAACAGGACACTTGCACTTGGACTTGACTGTGACCCACAAACTCGTGCTTCGCCACACTCGAGTCTAACCTCACTTTTCCATAAATTCATTCTAAATTTACTTTGTAGCTGGCTTTCGCTCAAGAACGCATTTTTTTAACTTAAATATTTCATTGTCATTGAGAGGCACACATATGTCTAGTTAAAGGCGCTTCTTAAATCTACTCTCCGTCGCTTTCTCTCTTCAACAACCGCCCTGTTGACATTTGTCACTAGCTTATCAAGTGTGTGTGTGTGCGGTTAAGTGAACTTAAGTAGAGCAGCTAGTTGAAATATGCAAATCAAGTGGAAATGCGGCAAGTCAAAATGTCACAGAGTTGCATTTTAATTACGTGAGGCAGAATGCTAAAGTGATTAAAACGTAATGAAATTTCGAGGATATACATACGTTATATAGTTGTAACTGCGTGAAACGCTTTTGCTTTTCACTTAAAGAAGATTTTTAACTTGAAAATTGTTAGCAGTGCTCTTCTTTTTTAAGAAGCGAGCGATTTGATAAATTCTGTACCAGTTTTTCATTACAAAAGTACGGCCCTTTCCCAATACAGATGCAGACTTTTATACTCAGTTTGATTGACGTAGTCAGAGAGTTTTACGATGAAAGCGCTTTGAAGATTCTATTTGAATGAACCTCAGATCCCATTACACACTTTTGTACCTTTATAATAGATCGCTTAAATATCCTTATCTTTTACTAAAATTTATTAGCCCACGTTCAACTAAGAATATTTGGTCCGGTTGCTGAATACCACAAGAACGATAAGGAAGGTTAATAATCTTGATCCATAATTAGTGAAAAAGTGTAGTATATTTGACATTCCAGAAGTGTTTTTGGATATCTAATAAGCTTTCAGAGTTCATTTCTTATAATATTCGGAAACTTAGTCACCTGGTAGAGGGCAAGAATTATTCTTAAATATCACATATGAAGCCTGCGGGGCTCATTTATTATACCACTTGAAAACTTAGGCACTTGTTAGAGAAAGCTTAGAACACATATTTGGTATTCCAAAACTTAGATATCTAGCAAAGCCGTCAGAGCTCATTCATTATTGGAAACTTAGGTACCAGGTAGAGAGAGCGTAGAACACATATTTGGTATTCCAGAACTGTTCTTAGCTATGTATCAAGCTTTCAGACACCACTTGCTACACTTTTAGGAAATCACTTGGTAGCGAGTTCCAACATTAATAAGAGGGTCCGCCGGGACTTTGTCTAGCTTCAGATTATTTTCTTCTTAATTTCGCTCTCTCTACCTATCTCTTTAATTATCTCCCAATGCTTTGTTTCTCTATGTTACTGTTAATCAGTGCTGCCTTGCTAAGCATGTTGTTATTAAATATTGTCATGTCCCAATAATAACTTCTGATCAAGCAAAAACTCTCAATTTTGCTTGCGGCTGACCACTTAACATTATGCCCAGGTTTTTTGTCGGTACTTTTAATATTCTTTCTGACCTACTCTCCGTGCGAAGGTTGGAGAATAACACGAATCTGTCTTTATGCGAACCTATACATACGGGGATTGATATTATATTGCATTAATCACCTTGACTAGTCTCAAGTGTGGTTCAGAATAAAGCTAAAGACGTTGTTAGCAGTTCCCAGGGATTTCTCTCGACCATATTGAGAGATTTTATCAGACTTTTTTCTAATCCAAGATTTTCGGACTGGGAGCTACTCATTGGACCAAGTTCTACTCCACCCTTAGAAACTTTATGAGTCCAACTTGCAATGTAATGTGCTTATTGAGAAAATAATTGACCAGTGAAAGCATATTTCACACCTAATTCGCCTCCCCTACGCCTCGCAACTCATACCGTTTATCTTAAGTTTTTTATTTCAATTTCATTAACCTTATTTAATTATTTATTTTGGCGTATGGAGACAATGATAATAATTAAAACTCAACAAAAGCGCAATAAAAGCAACAAAGCAATAAAAGACAAAATGTAATGGCGCCAAGTAACTAAACAGGAGTAAACAAAGTCAACAAAAGGAAGGAAGTAAGGTGGATAAACCACTTCGAAGCGCGAAAGGAAGAAGAGACTAAAAGCTGGGTTGGAAAGGGAGGGTGTCAGAGAAAGTAGTAAAAAGACAGCCGCAGAGCAAACAATAAACCTAATGACTCAGCTATCAATAGCAGTAACAAGAACAATAATAATATTATAAATATATATATTGAATAAGGTATGTGGGAATGTATTACTTTCGTTTCGGCATCCAAACACTCGACGATTTGCTGCGTCGTCGAAAAATTTATGATTTTCACAACTCTCCAGCGTCCGCTTAATGAGCGGTTTATCGGTTTTTGTTGCTATAACGGCATTAAATATTGTTAATTGGCGACAATGCGTCGTATTAGTTGAATTTTATTGGTCCACCTTGGTTCATGCAAGCGGGTGGGTGCTGTCAGCGCAAAGTTTTATGGTCATAAATTCATTATTTACGACATTCATCCTAGGGCACAAGAATTTTAATGACGGTCTAAAGTAAGTTGCGTCTTACTGTTGCGCATCGGTCACTGGTCAAGTCAATTCCCAACTTTTTATGATTTTAGTTTATTAATATTTTGGGTTTTGTTTATCATTAATACTTCCCACCCTCGCGGCGCTCTAAAATAATTATATAGTATGTCTCATCTTAAATTAGTTGAACCTGCTGATGATAGCGCGCATTTCTACTTCAAGGTCATTTTACACTCATCGTCTGTTCTTGCGCACTTACGCTTCGTTTCCATCGCTCTCATCTCCTGCCGCTCACCTATTTTCTACAATATTTCAGTTTCCACTACCAAGTTTTTTACTCCTGTCACTCGTGCCCTTACTGCCGACCTTGCTACTTGCTTATCCTTATCCTTGCTGCCGGCCGCCGCCCAGTTTTTTACTCCTGTCACTCGTGCCCTTACTGCCGACCTTGCTACTTG